CTATCAACCTATAACGTATATACCTCAACATACTGATATACCATTATAATTATAAAGATAATTACAATTATAACGATAAAGGATTAATTTTATCAAAAATGCCTCTCTATATCTTTAATAATTTCAAAAAAAAAAACATCAATTAAATAATTCTAAAAATGTGAATAGATCAAAACTCGTTACAATTGATATTGCTTCATTGTGATTTACGTTTAGACAAAATTGGTCGTGTTTAAATTAATCTCGAATCCTAGTAACAAGAAACACCAGAGGGCTTTTTCGATTCGTTGCGGCCATCAGTAACTAACCTCGAAGGTTGCTGCTGCAACCCTCGCCTCAAGGGGTTGGGTCCACGAGAGAAGAATCTCTCGGGGTGTTTCGCGGGAATCCTTCATGCTCTCAGGCCAATTCACTTACTTTGATTTGATTGACCCCCGTGTATGATCCGTGCACGGTCCAAGGGATCGAGGGAACGAAGGGTGGTGGCGGATGCCGTCGTCTCGTGTTTTGCGAACCGTGGATTGTATCCCTGGCAGCAATCAACGTATTGGTTGTTCTTATTGGAGTTGGCACGGGCGAGGTCTCTTCCTTGTTTATGCTCGGCCACGTCGAAAGTTTCCAATAAGGGATGGAAGGCCCTTACCCCATGGCCGCCGTTCTAAACGAGCCGAGAGAATTGGAATTTGCTTGCGAAATTTTCTTCGTGTTCAGTGAATGATTCGCCTCTGTTTTCCATTTTTTTTAAAGAAGTTATAATAAAGAAATAATAAAAAATAATATAATAAAAAATAAAGAAGTTAGTATGGTACAGATATATGGCCGTTAATTAATCTTGTTATATTTAATTGGTCGGGTTTCTAATAATAATTTTGTCATTCTTTATTCTGTATACACAAAAATGTGTTATTAAATGTCGATGTACAATTTTCTATTTTTAATGAAATTTTCTGAATATTTAAAATATTATTCAACGCTCAAAGTTTTAATTAAACAAAATATTTACAATTTAATATTCTATTAATCTATTGCAAAAAAGATTATATTCGAAATTATATTAAACGACGAAATTTTGCAAATTTTGATTTTTCCTGCTCGAAAAAAAGATTTCCCTTTATTATATTTCACAAATATATTTTCATTAAAATCAAAATTTTTCCCTATAAAATAACGTTCAAATAAAACATATAAAAAATAATCCCAATTATTTTTTATATAAAATTAAATATTAACTTGTACAATAAATCGACCACCCTATCTGCAATACCCCGACCTCTCCTAAAACGCCCGCGGGTGGCTATTTATAACGATATATAGGAGAACATTCTTCTTCTTTTTTTTTTCTTTTTTCGAAAAAAAAGATTGAATTACGACGGAAATATTTTCACTCGGCCTAAACGCGCTACTCTTCTTCGGGAACAAGTTGGGCGATCACCCCTCTGTCCCCTCTGTTCGAGCATCCAGAGATGTTCCTTCTCGTTTCTCCAGGATGAAACACGTTTCACGGTCTCAGCATAAAATTTATCCACCCCCTTGGTTAAACAGCCACGCACGCCTCCTCTTACTTTTCCGGGGAGCGAGGCGGCCTTGGAATTTTTCCCTTCAACTTCGTTTCACCCCCCACGATATCCCACGGGGCGTGCGTAAGCTCGAGGGTGAGGAGGAACTACGATGGCTGACCGGGGTTCGAGGGAAGAGACGAATGATAGCTAGCTAGGATCACGAGAGACCAAGAATCACACAAGAACGTTTTGAAGATTTATCTTCATTCCTTTCTTATTATCTTTATTCCCGCTTGGAATGAAAATAACCAATCGCGAAATCGTTTCGTCAAACGGAAAATTATTTAATTTAATTTTCATATATTTCCGTGATATTTTTGTCGATTGGTCTCTATAAATTTAAATCTAATTATAATAATTATTTATAGCATCACGTATGATATTTTAGCTCACCAATAAAGAAAGATAGAGAATAATCTTTTTTTTAACAAGATTTAAAAAAAAAAAAGATTTCGTGCGTTGAGGGATTAATTCCGTTTCACGATACGTAGAAGAAAATGGGATCGAATCCAGAAATATAGTAGGGAGAGTCTGGATGGGAAAGGCGGTCGATGGAAAATTAAAGAAACCTTTTGCGAAGGAAGGGAGGCTGGGAACGGAGGAGGCGGCGGTGCTTGTCACATTTTCTACTTTGCGGAGACGTACGAGGCCGGCTTAATTGGCTGAAGCCCTGGTTTTATTTATAAGTTCGAGCGGAGTCTATCGAACCCCTCCCGCCAACTGTGTTGTGAGGAATACCGGGCCAAGGGAACGATATAACTCCGACGAAACGGAAAGGTAGGGATATTATCTCTCTCTCTCTCTCTCTCTTCCTCTCCCGCTCTGGGGGTTGGAAAGGAGACACTGGAGGAGAACGCGTGACAAATAACCCTTATAAACGATTCCCTATAACTCTGCGGCCCTCCGCGAGCCCTGCTTGACAAGCTGAAATGAAAATCATGGGGATGTTGCGCCGCCACTGGGAGACCTATCGTGGTGGGAGAAAAGCGCGAGAACTGGAGAATGGGGGAGGAGGAGGAGGGCGGAGGGAAGTGGACACTTGATTACATTGCGATAATATACATGATGCCGATATGAACTCTGCCGCGGCCTGTTGTTGCTCGTCTGCGCGCGATATTGTATAATGGCCAACTGGAAATGGTCCAGTGGCGTGGTGGCGGCTGTTCGACGTGGCTGTTCGCGCGCGCACACCCCGTCGATAATAGATCGGCACGGATACGATTGTAAATATGACGCGTTTATTGCTCTCCCCGTTTCGAATCGAAATGTTGTTCCGCGAAAGTGTGTGCACAACTGGCCCCGATACCCATCGAAGGATGGAAAACGTTTCGCGCGCAAATCTGATTCGAATTCCGTTCGGATACGAAATTCGTTCCGTCCGGATAGGAAATCGGCGATAAACTTCCTTCCGGTTAGCTGGATAAAAATTACGAAATTTTAAAATTACGAATTAAAGAGAGTTATGTAGGATGAAAATTATTGTTTGTTATTTGTCGTTCAAAATATTTAAGATGTTTAGATTAAACTTCTTTTTACAATGATACGTATAATTTTTTATTTATTTTTCAGTCTTTTGATATTTGACGGATAGAATTCGAAAAAGTAAAAAGATCGTTGCGTGGAAAAATTTGGAATGTTTAAAATTATAGTATTTTGACGCCATATTGATTTCATAGTCACGTGATTAGTTGACGAATCATGGCGGATTATAGATAACGCAAGTAAGTGGAAAATTGAGTTAATTGCTAATTAAATTTATATTAGCTGACATTTCTTTCGTGGAATTTCTTTGTAAATAAATCGACGTTATTATTTTCGTCACAATTATTTCACTTATCTTCTCGGGATTATAAGCATGGAATATATACTCCCGTTATTAATTATTCATAACAATTAAATCCTTCGAGTGAAATTAATTTCTCGGTTTATCGCGCAATAACCGATAAAATAATAAAATGGCGAATGGCGTTTAACCAAAATTAATTGTTTCGGGTGAACGAGTCGACCGACTAGGAAAACATTTGGGATAGGAAAAGGGTGTCGTCGAGCGGTGAAAATCGTATACAGGGGACGTCGTTTATGTACTTCGATATAAAGCGTATGCGAGCAAAAGACTGCTTGCTTACGGGCAGAGGGTTGCTTTGGTCTCGGCTGTTGGCAGAGGTGAAACGGGAGGGTTTTTACGAGGCAGTAACGGCCGATAAGGTGAGCTTGAGCCCCCACAGACGGGTTTATTCCGGTACTGCACCCAAGTGGCTGTTCGACAGTGTACCTATACTGTCCTACGTTCTCTTACTTTCTCCTGGTGGCTTGCTGTGACTTTGCCATGCTCTATCTGAAACCGTTTACGCGCCCCTTTTCTCCTTTCTTTTTTTCTTTTTTCTCTCTTTTTTTTTTTTGTCTTCAACTCATTCTTTCTAAAGTCTCGCTTAGAAGTTATCCCGGCCTCTTGGCGTTATCGACAATGTTACCGGGATTTCCGAGCTGGCTTCTTCGAACCCGTTCACGTCTTACACATCCCGAATACCGGTATTTGTAGCTAGGCGATTCAAAGAAGAAAGACTGGATTAAAAGATCTCGTGGTCCGTTTGAAATTGTAATGCGATATAATAAACTTTCTAAAAGTAGAATTTCTACTTGGTAGATTCGACGATGAGTTAGTTTACTTGTGGAAATGCTTTAACGTTTTAAACGAGGTATGAATAGTCGAAGATCGATATTATTATTTTTAATATCTTTTTATAAGGATATATATGATTGCTGGACATTCTACTGCCAACGTTCGTTTCTTATCGCTCGCTCAATTTCCTATAAAGAAAGGTGTGCGTTAGAACGCTGTGCGATTTGGCAGTTAATATTTTTAATATATACAATGCACGCGATCATAATATATTTTGCTACAATATTTTGCTATAAAAACTTCAATACTTTTTGCGAATTTATAATAATATCGCGTTATTCGTGTGTATGTAACTTTACCTGATCTAATCTAAATGGTCTCTGTGATAAAAGTTGGACGACTGAAAATTGAGAGATATTTATAAAATAGTAGAATTAAAAAATAATAAGGCATATCATTCGCGATGATATCAAAGGGGGGATTTCTTCGATAAATACTTAGATTTTTAATTAGACATTGAAGATCGTTTCTCTCAATTATTCAACTTTTACTATACAAAGGATACCAATAACGTTCGCACCTTCTGAGTTAAACACTTCGAAAGAGGTATAGACAAAAATAGTATGTATATATATATATATATATATATATATATATATATATATACATACGCGTTTGGTCGCGTGTGTAAATGTATTATTTCGATAGGACACACGGTTTCCCCTCGGGAACCCTGAAAACGAGGTCCACGAAAAGACACGCGATCTCTTCCCTCTGTGGAGCTCGTTTGAACGTTTGGCCTGTGGTTTTGTTGGTTGCAGGAGCGAACGGAATGCGCAGGCGCGGCCGCCAGACCTACACGCGCTACCAGACGCTCGAACTGGAGAAGGAATTCCACACGAACCACTACCTCACCAGGCGGAGGCGGATCGAGATGGCACACTCGCTCTGCCTGACGGAACGGCAGATCAAGATCTGGTTCCAGAATCGGCGGATGAAGCTGAAGAAGGAGATACAGGCGATCAAGGAGCTGAACGAACAGGAGAAACAGGCGCAGGCGCAGAAGGCAGCGGCAGCAGCGGCCGCGGCTGCGCATCAGCAGCAAGCGGCCGGTGGGGGACCGGAGGGGGCCAACTAGGGGTACGCCCTGCACCGGAGCCCCCCTGACCACCCCACCACCAATCCACACCACCCTCTGCTAGCACCGCAATGTACACAGCTATATTAAAGGTGAGTGACTTCTTCGATACCACCAACCATTTTTATTATTTTTTCCTTTTGCCTCCTTTTACCCTTCCACTTTTTATCTTTTTTTCTTCCTTCTTTTTTCTCTTCCCTCCTTTTTCCTCTTTCTTCTTGCTTCTCGCTTGTTCGCATTCACGCTTCAAGCCTTTCTCTCCTTCTCTTACTTTCCCTCCTCCTTGCTCGCTTAACCTGTTAAACGCCAATTTCTAGCTCGATCGAAAACACCTTCTGTGCGCGGGGATCGGCCTCGAGATATTTTATGCTTTCGGAAATTGTTTCAGATTAATCGTTCGAAATAGATCGAACTCGCAATTATGTTAAATGAATTAATATAGATATACTAGTCGAAAATAATGTTAAGAGATATTATTTTTTTTTTTTTCATTAATTTTAAAAATGAGAAAATTATATTTTATATCAAAATTAAATAGCTTACGAAATTTTTTTTACATATTACTTTTCTTACAGCGATATAAAAGTATAAATTATCCCGAAAAATACACAATTACATCACGATTTTAAGATCTTTTAATCATCCGTCTTGACATAGAATCAAATAGACTTCTTACAACAAATTCCTATTAAAAACGCATCGAGAATTTTCTTTCTTATTCTTCGTCAAACAAATTGCCTGCAATCATAGAAAGCTTACGTTTCTCATGGCTTGATAAATCTTCCAACGAGCTAACCCTTCCGGATTCACGAGGGGTGAGAGTCGCTACCCGTTGGTAAATGGATTCCTCGACGAAGTTGAGCAATTCCGTTCCGCGAGGTCTTGAGCATTAAGCCCGATACATCATCGGCGAAAATTACCGGATCCCGAAGAAAACGTCGGCTAGAGTTTGTTGCAAATGGTGGGGAGGGTCGGCTTTTAGCCGACTCCCCGGCCTTTAAAATTAAGTTTAGCCGGTACACTTAATGAGGATAAACCACCTGCGAGCGTGCCTCCATAATTTTCTAAGTTATTCTGTTTGCGTGCATTTAACTCTCTCGCGAGCCTTCTGCATCTCGAGGGTGGTGGTTGTTGTTGCCGAGGCAACTGGTCCAAGCTTGAAATGTGGCTCCATCGTGATTTCAATATTTTTCTATATTACATAGGATATACAGACCGTTAATGAAGCGACTGCAATTTGCAAGATCCTTCTCAGTTTCTCACCATTATCGAAAAAAAATTCGAAGCGTAGCGAGGGGAATATTCGAAGGGAAAAAGTGAAATCGTTTCCAAAAAAGAAAAGAGGAAAAAGAAAGTAGAAAGTTTTTGGCCAGGTAGAAGGAGGAAAAGAAAAAAACAATTTCGCCAAAAGAAATGGCAATTTCTATCGTTGCACGTTATCTGGCTCGAGAATCCTCCTTGGTATAATTTGTACTTCGGTCCACGGGGCGGCCATTCGTTCCCAGAAAACGAACGACCCTTCGAATTGCCAAGGCAATATCGGGATAAAAAAAAAAAAGAAAAAAAAAAAAAAAAAAAGAAAAAGAAGAAGGTCCAGCTTTTTCTGCGCTTTCACGAAAGTCTCTCCCGACTTGCTACGCTGACTCTACCCGGCTTTTATGACTCTTTCCATGTTTGGCTGGGAAAAAAAAAAGGATTCCCGGGAAATGTGCTCGCCCGTTGAATGCTTTGTGCCGGCCATGCCGACATGCCGCTTTCGTTTTGACTCGTTATTACATTCGTCCCCTCTATCCCTTCTCCTCTTCTCTTTCGTGTTCACCACGCTGGATTTTCTTTGTCCTTGTAACCAGGAAATTAATTATTTTCGAGTCAACTTCTCGTAATTTGATCGTTACTCTACTTGGAATAGTTGGAATAGTTCCTCGTCGAGATTTTTACCTTAAAAATGATAAATAGAAGGATAATTTGATTATTATCTTTTGATATTCTACGGTGTATTTAAAGATTTAGAAGATTTTTCAAAAATCTTTGTGTATATCTTTATTTTTTCAAAATCTCAATAATGATTTTAATTAAATTTTTTAATTTTAATCAAACACAAAACTTTACAAATATTTAACAATGGAATTTAATCAGACATTAATAACGAATAAATTTTCTTGGAATTTTATTTAAAGATCTCATTATCAGGGGACTGTGGAAGGAAGAGAAATTCGCGCGATAATTCTTACCCGATTGCAAATCATATTCCCCTCCTCCTGGTTTTCCAGATAAACGGAAAACTTTATAAAGTTCCCTTTTGTCGGCATCCTGCCGCCAGAGGAATTCACCAATTAACTCCACGAACCGCGTTGGTAATTGTAGGCTGTAGCCCGAGAGCGTGCCGATTCCACGATACCGATCCATTTCTGTGCGCGATGTTTAATCGATGGACTCGTTGCTCGTCCGACTTGTCGTTACTTCTCCCTTTGTCGTACCCCCCCCTCGTGAAATCCGAATTTCGCTTCTCTAGAAATCACGCCGTTGTTACCCGATCTTAAAATAGGATTTTAGCCTTGTAAATAGCCAGAGGCATAGTGCATGCATCATACATGCATTGCTAGTACATATCGCGCATCAAAGTCTCCACGGAACGAGCCAACGTTCGGAAAATTGATACGCTACAAACGTATAAGATATATAATATTTCTTGTTCATGTCTTCTTAACTCTCCAGTTACGATAAAAAATTATCGAGAATTCGATCATGAATTGCGTTACTTTCATAGACGATTTGAATTTTAACGAGAATTAATAAGAAATCGATAAATTTCTTGAAACGAATTTTTATTCTTATCGAGAAAAATTTTAAACATTTCGCTGAATGATTTCGATACTTTAGAATTTGTTCAGATTTTTTTGAAAAGATCAATAAAGAAATTGATTTACCTATAGCATTGAAGAAAAAATTCACAAAGATTTAATTATAAATATATATAATATATAAATATATTAAAATCAGAAATGAACAATTTATCTTTGAAATTTCTCTTATCCCACCGATTATTATCCGATTTCTTTCTTTATTGCTCGCATTCTTCATCGGTGTAACCGCGTGCCGGTTTTTACGACGCAAAGTAGATCGTTAGGTTCGGTGCATGGAATATTGCCAGGAACTATAATCGCGTTATGCTGGAACAGTAGCGCAATTGCGGCGGGTGGAAGTAACGTCATCGTATCGGGACGCGGAATCGATTAGCGGGACGATAAATTACGATTTGAATTATATTACCATATTAATTACATATTTACGACGTTATTTATTAGGATCGCTCAGTGCGCGCGCGCGCGCGCGCGTCTCTGTTGCATTGTTTCGCGCCCTCATTAAATCGCGCATTGATAGCGGAGGGGCCGCATTAAATTCGCGACTATGCCACGCTTCGATAATATAACGAGATATACATATTTCAGGGCCGTTTTTTCCATGCTTGTCGTTGAATTTGCGTGAAATTTACATTTCATTGTCGGCACCGCTCGACCGTCCGTTTTTGTCCGCTCCGCCACCGCGAGGAAGAAATAGGGGCTGAGTCCAATTAAGAAAACCCACTACGCGGCCGCGCTATCGTACTTTCGTAGTCACGGCTTAAGAATTTGATGGACCTCTCTTGAGGCATGCTTCCATACGTCACCCTTTTTTCGTCGCCTAAATAAAGAACGAGACAACGACAGCCGATTTCTGTCTCTTTCTCGCCCGGCCGCGGGCCGAGTCGATGCCATGACGCAGATATACGCGAAGATAAATTTTGACAGTGAACAAGAAAAGGCAATTTAGAGGAATTCCGGCGATCTACTTTTATAGGAAAGTTTGCCCGGTATGGGCGATAAATCGCGCCAACGGGCCCGAGTTTAAAAGCTAGAAATATTTAAAGGTACATATCTCGATTCCAAAATCATGTTTCCGAACGGGGATTACAGATCTATGGACTTCTTAGCCCGAGAATCGAGTTCCTTCACTGTTTTTTTCGCGTGAATATTATTGTTGATCTTGTCTGTATTTATTGAATTATACATAACAATTTTGAGCTTGTAGATATTTATCAAATGTGAATTTTAGAGTTGTATCATAGGAAATTTGACGAGACGATATTTTAACGATCGTAATAATTATAGATATAAGTAGTATAAACGGTTTTATTCGAACTAATGTTATTTTGTCTATGGCATTGCGATGCCATCTAGTGGCTTTAACGACATCGAGGTTAATTATGGCTGCCTCACTCTTGCTTCCGAGGGCGTGGTTAAGGCGGGGACGAACGGCGACGAATATTTCGTCGCATTGGCTCGTCACTCTGTATCGGTCATTTACTCGTTCATCGATATAAATTTTTATTTTGAGAGAAAAAAATTTTTTTCTTGATTATTTTACGACAATCTGAGTGTGAAAAAGTATGCCAATACTTTGAAGTAAAAGGAAATGAGAAAATCTTTGAGGTGGAAAATTTCTGTGATGCTATATTTTATTAATTGGTCGTTTCCGTCGTAGATGGCAGCACGGGTCGACACATTCTCGGTTGATAAAGCAACCATTCTGTTTTACCGACGCCTCAATCGGTACACTTAATTTAGAAGTCGCTCCTACTTACCCAGCTTAACGCTATTCTACGGTAGTCCAATGATTGCCGGTAATGCATTTTATGGGTGTTTTTATCGACATGGTCGTACAGTAACTTACGTTGATGATTCTGGTTCTCAACGTAGGGCTCCGCCGTTCGTGCAAAGTTGGCTCTGTGTATGAGACTCGTGCATGTGCATCGTTGTATATGTATGCAGTTGCGCTGACTCGACTGAAATTACTTGCATTTTCCCGACGAACGCATTCTCACAGCTATTCGTCAATAATCCAATAAAGCCGCGCTACTAGCGGCCTCATGAAGACGGAATAAAGTACCGACAGCGTGTGATTTTATTGCGCAGTAAAGCGTGATTCCGACAGATTGATGCACGATTTTTCTTTCTCTCTTTATCCCATCTTCTTTCTCTTTCTCGTTCGTTCTTTTACGCGCATATATTCAACTGCTTGCTCGTCAAACGGTAGGTCGGGGGATCTTTATTGG